AGCTATTATTGTGGTTTTCATATGCATTTCCTTGATGATTCATGATGTTGAACATAACTTCATGTGCTTATGAGCCATTTGAGTATCTTCTTTTGTGGTTTCTGGTCAAAATTTTGACCATTTAAAAAATTGGTTTGGGGGCTGGGCATGGTGGCACACACTTGTAATCCCAGTACTTTGGGAGGGATTTTTGAGACAATTTTTTTTAAATTTAAATTTTAATTTTTTGTTTGAAGACGGCGTTTCACCATGTTGGTCAGCCTGGTCTTGAACTCCCCTAATGCGCCCGCCTTGGCCTCCCAGAGTGCTGGGATTACAGGTGTGAGCCACTGCGCCCGGCCGAGGATTTTTAAGAAATTCTTTGAATATTTTTGAATCTCATTTTCTTTGTCCCCAGGATGAGAATACAAGCAGATCACTCATGGGATGGTTGGGAATACTAAAGGGATCATATGTGTGCAAATCACATATATAATTTCTGCACAAGCTCAAATGATCCTCTCGCCTCCACAGCTACTTGGGAGGCTGAGGTGGGAGGATCCCTTGAGCCCTGGAGGTTGAGGCTACAGCTACTGAACTCCACCCTGAGCGGATCACTTGCAGGGCGAGAAAATCACTTGAGCTCAGGAGTTCGAAAACAGCCTAGGCAATATAGCAAGACCTAATCTCAAAAAAATGGGTTGGTTTTCCTATATTAATTTGTATGAATTATTATTATTGTTTGTTTGAGACGGAGTCTTACTCTGTCCCCCAGGCAGGAGTGCAGTGGCTCGATCTCAGCTCACTGCCCTCTGCCACCTAGGTTCAAGCGATTCTCCTGCCTTAGCCTCCCAAGTAGCTCAGATTATAGGTGCCTGCCACCACACCCAGCTAATTTTTGTAGTTTTTAATTGAGATGGGGTTTCACCATCTTGGCCAGGCTGGTCTTGAACTCCTGACCTTGTGATCCACTTGTCTCGGCCTCCCAAAGTGCTGGGATTGCAGGCGTGAGCCACTGTGCTCAGCTATTATTGTTATTATTAATTAATTGATTTATTTATTTTTGAGACAGAGTTTTGCTCTTGTCACCCAGACTGGAGTGCAATAGCACAGTCTTGGCTCATTGCAACCTCAGCCTCCCAGGTTCAAGGGATTCACCTGCCTCAGCCTCCCAAGTTGCTGGGATTGCAGGTGCCCACCACCACACCTGGCTAATTTTTGTATTTTTAGTAGAGACAGTGTTTCACCATGTTTGTCAGGCTGGTCTCAAACTACTGACCTCAGGTGATCTTCCCACCTTGGCCTCCCAAAGTGCTGGGATTACAGGCATGGGCCACCTCGCCCAGCCTGAATTATTTCTTATTGTGATTCAAGACATTTGCTACAAATGCACATTGTGAATATCTCCCCTCAGTCTGTAGCTTACCTTTTTTTTATCTTTGGAGAATAGAAGTATCTATGAAGTCAAATTTATTTATTTCTTCTTTAACATTTTTTCTGCCCTGTCCAAGAAATCTTTGATAACGTCAAAACTTTTTCTGTTGTGTTTTGTTTCTGGAAGCTTTCTGGTTTGGGTTTTTGTTTTGTCTGTGATTAATTTCAAATTAATTTTATATGTGGAGGCCAGGCGTGGTGGCTCATCCCTGTAAACCCAGCACTTTGGGAGGCTGAGGTGGGTGGATCTTTTTTTTTTTTTTTTTTTTTGAGACAGAGTTTCGCTCTTGTTACCCAGGCTGGAGTGCAATGGCACGATCTCGGCTCACCGCAACCTCCGCCTCCTGGGTTCAGGCAATTCTCCTGCCTCAGCCTCCTGAGTAGCTGGGATTACAGGCACGCGCCGCCATGCCCAGCTAATTTTTTGTATTTTTAGTAGAGACGGGGTTTCACCATGTTGACCAGGATGGTCTCGATCTCTCGACCTCGTGATCCACCCGCCTCGGCCTCCCAAAGTGCTGGGATTACAGGCTTGAGCCACCGCGCCCGGCCGAGGTGGGTGGATCTTGAGGTCAGGAGTTCAAGACTAGCCTGGCCAACATGGTGAAACCCCATCTCTATTAACAATACAAAAATTAGCTGCCTGTAATCCCAGGCAAATCCATCTAAATAACAAAACTAAACAAAAAAACAAAAATAAAGTTGCATGTGGAGTGAGATTGGGCCGGGATTAAATTTTTTCCTTAAAAGATATATAGTTTCAACACTGCTTTTTTTTTTTTTTTTTTTTTTTTTAGGCAGAGTCTCACCCTGTTGCCCAGGCTGAAGTGCAATGGCTCGATGTTGTTGGCTCAATGCAACATCCGCCTCCTGGATTCAAGCGATTCTCCTGCCTCAACCTCCCGAGTAGCTGGGATTACAGGTGAGCACCACCACAGCCGGCTAATTTTTTTGTATCTTTAGTAGAGGTGGGGTTTCACCATGTTGGCCAGGCTGGTCTCAAACTGCTCACCTCGTGATCTGCCCACCTAGGGCTCCCAAAGTGCTAGGATTTCCGACTTTAGCCACCATGCCCAGTCAGCACTGCTTTTTAAAAATAACTTTCTTGACCAGGCTCAGTGACTCACGCCTGTAATCCCAGCACTTTGGGAGGCTGAGGTGGGAAGATCATTTGAGATCAGGAGTTCGAGACCAGCCTGGCCAACATGGTGAAACTCCGTCTATATTAAAAATACAAAAATTAGCTGGGCATGGTGGCAGGTGCCTGTAATACCAGCTACTTGGGAAGCTGAGGCAGGAGAACTGCTTGAACCTGGTAGGTGGAGGCTGCAGTAAGCCGAGATCATGCCACTGCACTCCAGCCTGGGTGACAGAGTAAGACTCTGTCTCAAAAAATAATAATAATAGGCTAAGTGTGGTGGCTCACACCTGTAATCTCAGCATTTTGAGAGGCCTAGGTGGGCGGATCAGCTGAGGTTGGGAGTTTGAGACCAGCCTGACCAATGTGGAAAAACCCCGTCTCTACAAAAAATAAAAATAAGTACATAAAAATAAATAATAATTCAACATATTTAATAGATATGAAGCTATTTAGATTTTTAAATTTCTTCTTGGGTCCATTTTGATAAATTACTTTATTCTTGTTTTTTTTTTTAATAATTTTTCTTCTCTTTTTTAATTTTTATTTTTTTTCACCCTTGAGAAAGTTAAACATCCTTTATGTTTATATTTACAATGAGTTGTTAACAAATACACAATACAGAACAACGTAAATCATGGCAAAAAAGCATAAACTTTGTGCATTGGTGTGGGATGTGGAGGGAGTGTAGCATGTTCATGTGTGATCACAACTGTTTATCAGCTTTAAATAGTCTATCATAACTATAAATTTTTAGCTGTAAGCTACAGAGTAACCAAAGGGAAAAAAATTATATCAGCTATGTCAATGAAATGAAGACAGGAATCAAAGTTTTATCAGTACAGAAACTCACCAAACCATAAAGAAAACAGTAAAAGAAGAAGAAAACAAAAGACCTACGAAACAACCAGAAAACAGTTAACAAAATGACAGAAGTGACTTCTCACCTTTTAGTAATATCCTCAAATATAGATGGTTTCAATTCTCTAATGAAAGGATGTGGAGTGGACATGTTTCCCTAGTCCCGACATCCAAGAGTATGTTTTTCTCTTGGTCGTAAGAAAATCTAGAGTATCATAATGTGTGGTGAAGACTGGACCTAGCTGGTATGCTCACAATGATGAAATTATGTTTTAATCCAATATATTGATCCACAATATATTGATCCACAATATATTGATCCACAATATATTGATCCACTATAACTTGCAAAAAAATAATGTACTTGCTTTCTAGACACATCCAGGAAGACTAGAGAAATTGGCTTTTATCTATATGGAATAATCCACTGGTGAATTTCTTTCAGGATAGACCAAAGCTGATCTAGAACATCGTCTTTACGTACTTCGATTCTTCCCCCTAGAGAAAGAACATCTGGGCTGAAGGGCTCCATTAGAAGCACAATGTGGGATGGTGCTGTGCTGACAGCTGGTGATTCCTGCCCTACATATTTCAAGAGGACTGGAGTCCCGAGTGGGCCATGATCACTTATGCGTTGAAGACCCCCTTCTATGTGTGCATGTGCTTATTACAGATATGCCACGGTGCTAAGTACCCTAGGACTACAGGAAAATTACGAATACATGCTGTATCCATGATGAGGAGGCACACAGGCCAGAGTGCCAGCTGTGGAATCGCATAGCCTGGGTTCAAAGCCTGGCTGGGTCATGATCACCCAAATGACCTGAGGAAAGTTCTCAGGCAAATTTATAAATAGAAGTGGAGACCCTGCCTGCCAGGAAGGAAAGTGGTAAGGGGGGGCAGTCAGTCAAGCCGGGGCCCGCATCCTCTCCTGAAATCTGCCTGGCAAGGCCAGGACCACAAGGGAGAAGGCGGGCCTGGCTCCAGGTGGCACAGAGGCGCTGAAGAGGCCCTAGGGGAGCCTGGTAGGATCTGGCTAGTCCTGCACTCTGCTTCCAGGAGAGTCTGGCCCTGTAATCCAGGGGACAGGGCCAGCCAAGACATGGCCACTGGGTGCCAGCCAGCGCCTGGGCCAGGCACCAGGTGGGAAGGGCTCTGGCAAAACAGCCCTGCATCCCCCACAGCCCCACAGCGGGGCCCATCCAGGACCACACACCTGCCCCCAGGAGCAGGACATCCCTGGGGCTAGAGAGTCCAGCTGGACGGGTGGGGAGCCTCGCCCTTTGCCCTTTCACTCCACTTGTAGGTGCCCTTGCTGGGCTCCTGTGCACTGCCCCACACCCTGCTCTGTCACCAGCCCCACTGAGATGTCATAAGAGCCCAGCTGCCCAGTGCCCGCCCGGCCACAGACTAGTGGGTGACTCAGGAGTACCCTCTCCATTTCTGACCGTGATTTTTGTCCGAGCACAACTTGTGCAATGTGGGAAATTTCCTAAGTAGATTTCGTTCCTGGTTCCACCGCAGGCCCTGGCAGCGGTGGCAACCGCAATGGTCTCCTTTTGTCAACGCGGACTTTTCGGCTCTCCAGGTTCACCCTACAGCTCCTGCGTGTGTGCCTGCCCCGGGAGCCCTACACTCTTCTAGATTCTTCTTGAACCCTCAGCGAGGTCTTGGGCCTTGTTTTCCAGCCAGCTGGAATATCACCCTGAACTTGAGCGCCCTACTTCGAGACCTGCCTCCTCTGGTTTGGAGGCCCCCCGCCAAGGGAGAAACCCGTGCTATGTGCACGCAACTCATGATGTTCGCATGCGTCAGCCCCGTGAGGATCCCTCGTCTAAGACTCAAGTTTCCCCTCCAACTGCCTTCGCTACAAGTGCTGGGAAACAGCTCTTGGAATTCCGTCCCGATCCTGAAGACAGAGGTGAGGGCAGAAGAAGAGCCGGAAGAACCAGTGGAGGTGGACGATCAGGTAGAGACCCAGGGGCAGGAAGAGGAGAAAGGGGGCCCCTGTAGCAATGGAGGAGCAGCATCCATCCACCTCGAGGCCTCTGGAGACTCAGGGAAACCTCGCTGCCCTAGACTGCAGTCCCAGGGCCTTAAAGGGAAATGTCCATAGCAGGAGCCTGACAGAAACGAACAGGACTGACAAGGCCCAGGCGCGGGCAGTGAATTTCCACTCCAAGGGCCATGGAGTGCCCAGCACACAGCCCTGCAGGAGGCGTCCTTCCCTTTGGGAAGCCTGACCCAGCTCCAGCAGTGCTCCCTGGCCCGGTTCCCGACTGCTCCCGTTGGCCAGAGAAGGCGGCCTCTCAGGTGCTGGGGAAAGACCACCTGCTCAGCTCCTCAGGCTTGCAGATGAGGGGGAAGGAAACCCAGCGCATGGATCCTGCAGCTCTTGTAGCAAGCAGCTCTTCTCCACCCAGAGCTGCCAGCCACAGTTCCTGACAACCAAAACCGTCGGGGCAACCCCAGCAGCTGCCACTCGTCCCTCCCCAGCAATCGACGTGGGGGAGAGACGAGGGGCTCTCATCCGCTAGATGTCCCCGCCTATCCCTGGAAGGATTCACGGACAACATGGGGGCGTTAGGTAAAACATCACAATCCAGGAGACTGAAAAAGCGACATGGGAGGATAAAGAAGATATGGTAAACTGCAGTGCCAGGCAGCGTGACCCGATGTCTCCCCACCTGCTGAGACTGCCTGCCCCAGGCCACCTGCATGTCACAGGTCCCAGCTCCTCCTCCTACCTCTGACCTGGCCCACGTGGCTGCTGGGCCCCTTACTTTTGACCACACCAATAATTGAGTAAAAATTGATATCTAGGCTGGGCGCGGTGGCTCACGCCTGTAATCCCAGCACTTTGGGAGGCCGAGGCGGGTGGATCACGAGGTCAAGAGATCGAGACCATCCTGGTCAACATAGTGAAACCCCGTCTCTACTAAAAATACAAAAAAATCAGCTGAGCATGGTGGTGTGTGCCTGTAATCCCAGCTACTCAGGAGGCTGAGGCAGGAGAATTGCCTGAACCCAGGAGGAGGAGGTTGCGGTGAGCCGAGATCGCTCCGTTACACTCCAGCCTGGGTAACAAGAGTGAAACTCCGTCTCAAAAAAAAAAAAAAAAAAAAAAATTGATATCTATGGCTGGGCACAGTGGCTCACGCCTGTAATCCCAGCACTTTGGGAGGCCAAGGCTAGTGGATCATCTGAGGTTGGGGGTTCAAGACCAGCTAACCAACATGAAGAAACTGCATCTGTACTAAAAATACAAAATTATGGCCGGGCACGGTGGCTCAAGCCTGTAATCCCAGCACTTTGGGAGGCCGAGGCGGGTGGATCACGAGGTCAAGAGATCGAGACCATCCTGCTCAACATGGTGAAACCCCGTCTCTACTAAAAATACAAAAAAATCAGCTGGGCATGGTGGTGCATGCCTGTAATCCCAGCTACTCGGGAGGCTGAGGCAGGAGAATTGCCTGAACCCGGGAGGCGGAGGTTGCAGTAAGCCGAGATCACGCCATTGCACTCCAGCCTGGGTAACAAGAGTGAAACTCCTTCTCAAAAAAAAAAATAAATAAATAAAAATAAAATAAAAATACAAAATTAGCCAGGCGTGGGGGCGCATGCCTGTAATCCCAGCTACTTGGAGACTGAGGCAGGAGAATCGCTAGAACGCAGGAGGCAGAGCTTGTGGTGAGCTGAGATCGTACCATTGCACACCAGCCTGGGCAACAAGAATGAAACTCCGTGTTAAAAATAATTAATAGTCGTTTCTGCCCGTGGATGCCACTGAAGAAGCATCATTAAAGTCTCTCTGCTCCCTGTGATCATGTCTTTTTTTTTTTTTTTTTTTTTTTTTTTTTTTTTTTTTTGAGACGGAGTTTCGCTCTTGTTGCCCAGGCTGGAGTGCAATGGCGCGATCTCGGCTCACCGCAACCTCTGCCTCCTGGGTTCAGGCAATTCTCCTGCCTCAGCCTCCTGAGTAGCTGAGATTACAGGCACACGCCACCATGCCCAGCTAATTTTTAGTATTTTTAGTAGAGACGGGGTTTCACCATGTTGAGCAGGATGGTCTCGATCTCTTGACCTCGTGATCCACCCGCCTCGGCCTCCCAAAGTGCTGGGATTACAGGCTTGAGCCACCGCGCCCGGCCTCCCTGTGATCATGTCTAAGTCAGAATTTCCTAAAGAGCCAAGCAGCTGAGGAAGTTCTTCGTTGGAGGGTTGAGCTTTGAAACAACCAACGACAGCCTGAGGAGCCATTCTGAGCAATGGGGAACGCTCACAGACTGTGTGGTAATGAGAGATCCAAACACCAAGTGTTCCAGGAGCTTTGGGTTCTTCTCATATGCCACTGTGGAGGAGGTGGACGCAGCCACCGGTACAAGGCCACACAAAGTGGATGGAAGAGTCATGGAACCAAAGAGAGCTGTCTCAAGAGAAGATTCTCAAAGACCAGGTGCTCACTTAACCTGAAACGATGTTATAGTTGAGGGCCAGGATGGTCTTTTGGGACAGGAGGAACAAGAGGTTCTGGTTGCCACTCTTCAATCAGTTCTTCCTTTTCCTTGACTGTAAGATCAGATCGTTCTTGTAATTTGTAAGTCTTAGAGAAAAGAAGTCTGATCATCCAGAGTATTAGAAACTCTTCCAAAATAAGATGGTAAGCAGGAGCCTCGAAGAGCGCCTGTACCATCTCCACCAGCACCCACTGCTCCTTGGTGGTCGCCACAGCCGCTTGGGATTCCTTCCGGAAGCTGGGTCACGAACGCATCCTTAATTTTTTTTTTTTTTTTTGAGACGGAGTTTCACTCTTGTTACCCAGGCTGGAGTGCAATGGCGCAATCTCGGCTCACCGCAACCTCCGCCTCCTGGGTTCAGACAATTCTCCTGCTTCAGCCTCCCGAGTAGCTGGGATTACAGGCACGCACCACCATGCCCAGTTGATTTTTTTGTATTTTTAGTAGAGACGGGGTTTCACCATGTTGACCAGGATGGTCTCGATCTCTCGACCTCGTGATCCACCTGCCTCGGCCTCCCAAAGTGCTGGGATTACAGGTTTGAGCCACTGCGCCCGGCCGCATCCTTAATTTTTAATTTTTAAGAAGTTTTTCTTCTTTTCATTCTTTTTTTTTTTTTTTGAGAAGGAGTTTCGCTCTTGCTACCCAGGCTGGAGTGCAACGGCGCGATCTCGGCTCACCGCAACCTCCGCCTCCTGGGTTCAGGCAATTCTCCTGCCTCAGCCTCCTGAGTAGCTGGGATTACAGGCACATGCCACCATGCCCAGCTGATTTTTTGTATTTTTAGTAGAGACGGGGTTTCACCATGTCGACCAGGATGGTCTCGAACTCTCGACCTGGTGATCCACCCGCCTCGGCCTCCCAAAGTGCTGGGATTACAGGCTTGAGCCACGGCACCCGGCTCTTCTTTTCATTCTAATCTCATGACAGATTAGAAAAATTATGGTTTTGGAGGCCGAGTGCAGTGGCTCACGCTTGTAATCCTAGCACTTTGGGAGGCCAAGGCGGGCATATCACAAGGTCAAGAGATCGAGACCAACCTGCCCAACATGGTGAAACACCGTCTCTATTAAAAAAAAAAAAAAAAAAAAAAAAAAATATATATATATATATATATATATATATATATGGTTTTGAAGAAACCTGTCTATTTTATCTAAATTGTTGAACATATTGCATGAAGCTGTTTATTTTTTATTATTTATTATTATTTTTTTTTGAGGTGGAGTTTCGCTCTTGTTACCCAGGCTGGAGTACAATGGCGCAATCTCGGCTCACTGCAACCTCCGCCTCCTGGGTTCAGGCAATTCTCCTGCCTCAGCCTCCTGAGTAGCTGGGATTACAGGCACGCGCCACCATGCCCAGCTAATTTTTTGTATTTTTAGTAGAGACAGGGTTTCACCATGTTGACCAGGATGGTCTCTATCTCTTGACCTTGTGATCCACCCGCCTCAGCCTCCCAAAGTGCTGGGATTACAGGCTTGAGCCACCGCGCCCGGCCGCATGAAGCTGTTTATAAGATTATCCTATTTTGTTTATATGTGTAAGATCTATGGTAAATAAAAAGAACACTCCTGCACTGAATAGGAGTTGGCAGAAAATCTCTAAGAATCTTTCTAATGTGAGACTTCAGGATTGATAACCTGTTATGAAATGAGAGATCATACGGACCTTCTCTGCAGTTCTTTGCTTCTGGATTTTCTTAGTTCTTCAGCTGTCAATCAAAAGTAGGCATCATGTTCTCACCAGTAACATTCTTTCCTCTCTACTTCATCTTTCTTTCTCTCTCTCCCTTTTAGAGGAGTTGCTCCAAGCTTTTGCTCTATTGCAAATGAACCTAAAATGGCAATTTAAATTTGCAATGGTAATTTGAATGCAGTGGTTTCCTTAGCAACAAAAACTTATTTGTGGTTCAGACTTTGGAATTTAAAAAATCTCAGAGGTCTAATTAGTAGTTTTCCTGAGCAAGCCATTTACAACCAATATTTTGAAAACCCAACATAATTTTAAAATAGTGAATTAAGATTATTGTATCACAGCAGGTACGTGGGGCATTGGATTCCCCAACCCACTTTCCACAAACTTCCTGGAACTAAAACTTAACAAAAATTCCTAAGGACATAGTGCCAGCTTCTCCAACCCAGCAAGTCCAGCATGGATGAAATACTGACCACAGAAAAGACAGCCATTCTTGCCAAATCCCTGACCATTTTAACCCAGTAACAGGCATGGCTTAGAGTTAGAAAGGTTTCATTCCTGGGTGGCACAGGCATACGGTGTCAAATCCTCCTCCCAAACCACCTGCTACCTCCTACCTCCAACACGTACACACAGACACACGTGCGTGCACACACACACACACACACACACAGCAGTGTTCTGCACTGTTTCTTCTCCAAATTATCAAATTATCCAGTGGTCAAAAGGTATTTGGTCCCATCCAGTCTCTCTCAGTTTGTGGTAGGACTAATTTGTTAATGGGGCTCCAGAAGGAAAGTGCCTAATGTTTCTTCTAATTGGACATGACTGCTTCAGAATGACTGCGGCTGCCGGCCAGTTCTCACTGTCCCTGAGGCTGGATAATAAGCTTCTCCCATCGGGCCCTGGGTCCTGACCAGGACCATCTGCGGTAATGAACTTGGAAGGCTCATTGTAGATTGCAAAAAAGGAAAAGAGAGAGAAAAGCACAGTCCAGCTCTTGTCAGGGGGCTCAATTATGGCTTCTGTCAGCTTAACAAAAGAAATTCAGAAAAAGCTAGGATTAGAAGGGGTGAGGGGGAGCAGGCAAAGAAGGACGGGTGATGGGGGAGACCCATGATGGCAGAACCAGACTGAAATTCCTCCAGGACCAAGGTTTCTGGAAGGAGAAGCTCAGAGGTCACCACAATAGGCATTCAGTTCCCAGCATCCAAACGTGAGGCTCTGCAG